TTCCCCCCCCCCCCGCTGTTAGTGTGCCTGAACCCCCCCCCCCCCCCCCCCCCCCCCCCCCCCCCCCCCTCGTGACACAGAAAATAATTTGCGGTATTCTGATATTCTGATTTATTAATGTATTTATATTAGTTGTATTACCTCCCCCACGCCACTAGAGGCAGTACCAACCCCAAAAAGATGTGACTAAGGAGCAGATTTAGACTACAGAATTTGGTAAAAACGGGGAGCTTTACTGAAATAATTAAAGACACAAGTTCAAATCCAAGCTGAGAGTGGAGCTCCTTCCCGCAGCTCTGATTGGCTAAACAATGTAACGTGATCCTCTGCAGCAAGTGATGACAAAGCGGGTCGTCATCATGACTTTACACAGTGTGTCTTTACCTCCGCGGCAGAGGCTCCGCCGAACCTCTGAGACGGACTCATCGAACCCCTGGGGTTCGATCGAACCCAGGTTTAGAACCACTGGCTTAGCACCACAATACATTAAAGATCTGCTGGTGTTGCATCAACCTTCCAGACCAATCAGGTCTCCTGGTGCTGATCTGCTCTGCATCCCCAGAATCAGAACCAAGCCAAACAAGCAGCATTCAGCTTCTATGAACACATCTGGGACAAGCTTCCAGAAAACTGCAAAACAGGTGAAACCCTGAGTTCCTTCTAAATCGAGACTAAAACTTGATTTAGTCTTGATTTTAGAGTTGCTTTTGAAAAGCAACAAATTAAACATTGACCAACATATTTGATGTGTAATGATGATTTTGATGATGACACTTGACAATATGTCATGTTAGATACTGGTTTCTCAGTTGATGACTGTATGAGGTTTTCATAGCCCTTTTGTGTTTTTATGACATAAAGCATTTTGAACGGCCTTGTTGCTCAAATGTGCTTTACAAATAAACTTGATTAAAATGTGTATACTCCAGTTTTCAGTTTCCGTGCAGTCAATTTAATGGGTGAACTCTCACTTTGCACAGTCTTTTGTGAGCAACAAATATTGGCACTTCATCATATACAGAAACACAGCTACACCACACTGCGCTCCGCCACCCATTTGTTGCAACAGGGACTATGGCATTTATTTTCTGATTTGTCTGTAAAGCTATTAAGCATCAGCTACAGTGCGTGTGTTTCTATTCCACCTGTATGCGCATACACCCGCTGCGTACTTCGCTGCCGTTCGCTCCGAACCAGCCACTAGGCAGCAGCTCCTGAGAAAGAAAGGCTATCGTGTTACATGTGCCAGTCAATTTAAGGATGCCTATTGATCCCCCGAAAAACAATGAAAACTTGCATATTTTTATCAATCAATTCAATTCTCCAGATGCCCCAGAACGTGAAAAGTGGACATGCCTGGGGAAAGAAGACATTTGTTATGCACACTTAGTCGTCAACAACTCACTGGCAGAAGTGAGAGTGTTGTGCAACACAAATAATTATCTGGCCAGAACATAACAGCAAAACACAATTTAATGAAGCTTCAAGGCAGATAATTTGCCTCAAGGAAATGTAATAATCAAGGTACTCAAATCATTGGATGAATTGATCCAGACTTGGTTAGTAGTCTCACAATGAGTGGAATGGAGATCAGCTGAGTACAGGTACTGCGTCTCCAATTGATTATAGTATAAAGACAAATGGATCTGAAAGGATAAGTCTGCAATTTCACATTTGCAATCAGTAGAGAATGCAACAGCCAAACTTCTCACCAAATTCAGTTACATCACTTTGGTCCTACATTCAGTACACTGGCCCGCTTGTGCTGACTTGTCTTGTGCCGAGTAGAGCTTTATGGCCAGGCTCCTGATTATCTTTGTCAGCGTTTATCTAAATACTCTCCTGCTCATGGCCTTTGTTCTCAAACAGAACCTCTTGGTTGTTCCATATACCAGGCTGAAAACAAATCTGAAAACACTTTTATTTTCCTAGGCTTTTATGTCATGATTTTATTGTGTTTCTTATGGTTGTTTTATTCCTTGCATAATTTAAGGTATATTTTTATTGTACAGCGCTTTGTGGATTATGTCTGTGGAAAGCGCTTTATAAGTACAATTTATTACTTTACTTACTCTATTGATAAACATTTAAGTCATAAATTGAAACAACAAATTCTAAGCCTTGAACATCCCCTGGAATTCAGATAAATCATCAGCTAGACATGGAAGGAATCCGGTCCATGTGTAAGACAGAGACTCTGCAGACAACAACTGCTGGTTGTTCATCAGTCAAAGCTTAATGAGAGAGCAGCAATGAGAAAACCACTGGTGAAGTGAACTCAGGTCAAGGCTCATCTAGAGACTCCATGGTCAAGTGGAAGAAAATTTTTTGTCCAAAATGAAGCTGGTAAAACCTGCCAGTGTTGTCAGGGAGACGGTTGTTACGCTGCATCTGGAGAATAACTGCAGAGCAGCTGCAGCATCTAGCTCCTGTCACCTCGGACTGCTTTGAGCAGCGTGGCCCATTAAACTCGTCCAACCTTTGACCTTTCTTATTATGAAGGTATACTGTTTAGTAGTAGCCTGTTTCTAACTTTGTCTTGTGGAGCCAAGCTTCTCTCTCAGTGAAAGTGATGCTTTGTAAACAACCAGGAGCTGGGTTGTGTGTTTAGCTTGCTGCTGCTGTGTGTCGGTGAACTGTTCTGCCTGTTTAATGCATCTGTGATGAGTAGAATGAGATGAAACAAATAGGCTCAGTCTGTTCTGTTTAGATCACAATCATTCATGCTTCAGAGGTTGAGCAAATATTACATGACGCATTAAGGGTTGTTTTGCTTTTTACTCCATGATCATCTGGTTTTCTAAGTCTGAGATTTAATGCATAAAGGAAAGGGCATGCCATATTGTACTTTGCTTAATAAGTGAGTACTATTATTATAATTCTGTCCTCTTTAGGTTATAGTGGCTTGTCTGCTCAGGTTCTGCACAACTCTACTGGGGTTCCTCATCTGCTGTTTGGTCATTAATATTGTCAGGATTTTATTTTTGTTCTTTTGCTTGTGTTTGATGTACAGCCACTGTGTGATGGCTCTGCAGCTGTGTTTCTGGTCATTTTATTGCTGCATGACCCTATCTGTGAAACAGAGTAGTTCTCTCACTATATTGGTGTAAACGCCTTGATGAGTGGAAGGCACCCGGGTACAGGCCCAAATCAGGCAACCTCCATCACCCTGCAGACAAACAGTGCAGTGTTGTACATCGTGGTTAATCAGCTTCCAGGACCCTTGTGGTTTAAACAGAAGAAAAGCTATTTTGGGTTTGGCTGTAGTTGTTGTTTTCACTCTTGCTGTATTGTTGGGAACGATTTCACCTGCTGAACCTGGTCTGGTTTAAGCTTCACATCATGTCACATCATGCCATTCCTTCATCAAAACATATGAGTATTGCTTTGATTCTTTTATGCATGTTTGAGGAATCCTTTATTCTCCCATGGCGACCATTCAAGAGTGCCTAAATAGTTAACCGTCAGAGTCTCCAGTCTGCTTGCATCCATATGTATTTGAACAGCATCATAATTCACTTCAACTAAATGGAGACTGAGGTTTTTAGGTGGACCAGAGTTCAATTTCTTGGTCCACATCGGAGTTTGATTACGCATTCGCACCTACCCAAACAAGCTGAAATTTCTACTAGGCAAACAAACTTGAGTTGGATTAAGGCGGACTAAGCAGGATTGAATACACTGTTAGTCTAATGTAATAATTGAAGCAGATGCTGTGTTGTGACAGAGTTTGTTGTCAGCGTGTTATTTCTGTCAGCAGTGATCTAAGCGGCATGAAGATGTGACTATCCCCCGTTTCCCTGTTCCAGCTCTGTAAAATCACCATGTGTTTCCTGTTTAATATGGCTCAATCTAAATGAGAACTTCCCTTTCTGACAGTGAAAACTAAGCAGTGATAAAATGCTGTCCAAAGCACACAGCTTCATGTCGGCTGACTGCAAAGAGAATAGCAGCAGTAATCACCTGAGTCGGACTGCAGAGTCTGTCAGTCTGGACTTGCTGTGAACATGGCATTTGGTAGATAAGTGATGTCTGTGTTGGTGGCTGATCACCACATGTCACACAGCAGATGCTACGCTCATGGAAGAGCCGGTTAGTCAGGCTTGAACTCCTCCGTTACTGAACGCATATTTTCTGTTCACCCCTCAGGAAGAAGGTCGCTAACAACAATGAAGTTGTTAAATCGAACCCTTCCAAGCGCCACCGGGATCGGCTGAATGGGGAGCTGGACCGGCTGATGGAGCTGCTGCCTTTCCCTGACGAGGTTCGCTCCCGGCTGGACAAGCTGTCCGTCCTGCGCCTGAGCGTGGGATACCTCAGGGTCAAGAGCTACTTTAAAGGTAAGCCGTCTGAGACTTCAATTATCTCCAATCTGATGCTGCATGGGGCAAGGATCACATGTTGCTACGGACACCTGCTTATTAGTTTAAACCTTCACTAATTTCATTAATATGTTGTTGTTGTTCAAGCTGAGGTACGAACTTCAATAATTCCATTCAGTTTATCTATGTAGCACCAACCAGCCATCTAATTACAAAAAAAAAATGTTTCGATTCAATCATACATAAATTCCAATGGAGTTATGAGCGAGTGCAGCAAGCTCAGTTTATTATTCCAAGTAGTTTAAAAAGTTTGTACCTTAAGGAAACCCAGCATCAGCATTCTCTCCTTCTGGACTAGAATGTTGCAACAATCCCCTTTGTGTTGTTAACTCTATAGTAACCCCTCATGCTGAACATGTAGGTCATCATTTCTTATGTCTTGGTAACTCTCTGAGTTTTCCAGAAGGGTGGAGGGAAAATGATGCGTTTATAGGAGCACTGAGAGTAGTTACATTCTCTGCCAGACTGCTTTATAAATTTGTTCTCAATTATTGTGATATTGTCATCTTATACATGGAACAACAGCAGTGTTTCCCACAGTGTATTATAAGCCTGGCGGGCCACCAGGCTTTACTTGTGCCCCCACCAGGCTAAGCATTGCTTATTTATTTAAGTCTTTCATTATGTCAGCTCTATCAATCATTTGATTTGAAATTAGTGCACCAGTTTCATAGCAACTCCTCTGTTATACATAATGTGACATTGCTTCTGTTTCTGAAATCAGGAAGTAGTCACAGATTGCTGCAGAAGGGCTGCTGTTTATATTAAACAGAAATCAGAATCTCCTAAAATCAGCAAGTCAAAACTTTTGGAAATCAAAGGAGTTCAAATCAGAGTGAAATTTGCTCAGCTCTGCTCTTCTCTCTTCATAATGTAGGAAGGTTGTTTACACCCGGATGTCATGCCAGACTTTCTTGTTGTCTGTCATTGTGACTGAAAATATTCCGTCATATTCTATTTTTATCCTTCAGATTTTATGATGCCTTTAATTTTTATGTGGTTTAACTAATTTTCAACAAGTTGGACAACCCAGATTCCATCACATATTAATCAAGCAGATGAACGCATCTAGCTTTTTCACCGCAGTGATAAAAAAAAAAAACACTGATAGAACAATGAAATTAATCAACTCCACTTAAATTAAGAGATGGGTGCAGTGCTTCACCTGCTGCGGTCTGAACACGCAGCCTCACAGCTTCTACCGTGCATCTGGAGAATCTGCGCTAATATTTAGATTGGACCTACAAAGTCCAACCTGACCCAGACTGAGTCCACAGACATTATGACTGATTGACTATAATTAGAGATTGGAGTCTGGAGGAAACCCGACTTATTATCTTAATTAGGATTTTACTGCTTTCATTTTTAGAGCTTCATTTAGCAGCGTAACTTCTCCCAGCTTTTATTTAACATCTTCCAGATCAATTTTGTTCTTCATATTAACGCAGGGTGACTCAATTGCAAACCTGATTGAAAGTTTTAAATGTGCTTTTTAACCAGACGCCTTTAGTTCAGTGTCTGTTGCAGATGATATTCAGAAGGGAGGCTTTTTTCTATTGATTGATTTAGTTGCCTTCACACAATGTACTCTTCTATGCTTAAAGTTGAAAGTGATGAGCTTCATAATGTTGAACTTGAACATTACATACATCACAGGCCAAAGTTAGCAGTTGGATACATTTACAACTTTAACAGAGTCCACACTTCCAGGCAGCAGTGGTTTCTCAACAGCAGATCATTCAGACCCTTAGACGAAGTGGAGCATGCAGAAAAATAATTCTGTTTTTTTACCAGGATATGTTGAGTGTAAGGCAGAATTCAAACTGGTCCTAAGTGAGGTGTAGCCATGCTGTCTGACACTGGAGGCTTTGGGTTACGGGGAACTGTCCTGACTGATGACCTTTTCAGCAAAAAGAAGAGAACAAAACTTAACCTTGTGCTTGTCCGGCTGCTGCAGGCCCTCTTTGGGCCCCTCCTAGCATGGACTCTGCCTGAAGCCTGTTTCAGTGGTTGTGTAGGCTCCTCTAATGACTCTAGCAGCAGGTCTGAATGCTGATTAGCGAGCAAGTCCCTTTTTCTTAGCACAGCCGTCTGTGAGGATGTTTCACTTGCCGTGAACTGCAGATTGAAAAGAAACAGTAACTAGCTTAGCCATGCAGTGAACAATGTTTTCTCTGTGATCCTGTGTGAAGAGTGTGGTTGGTTTCCTGTGGGAGGGGAACGGCTCGGGGTGCAGCGCTGCTCTGTAGATGAGTTAAACCATGTGGAGAAGCCAGGTCTGAATTAATAGTGTCACATGAAAATGTTCTGGCAGAAACATTTTCACTTGACAGGCAGGAATGATGAGCATGCAAGAATGTAGTTTTAGGAAGCAACACATCCTCAGTGTTTCTACCTTCTCTCCACCCTCTGAGTGAACCACACCCACTGCCACCGTGACCTGAGCATTCCAACATTAGCTGTGTGCTGAGGTGAATGCTCAGACTTGGAAGACATGATAAGTGATGTGAAGTACGGATCTCTGTTAGTTTTGCTTTGGGATTCTTGTGTGTCTGTAAATGTGGTTGCCGCAGCGACAGAGACCCCCTCTCCAAGTGCTGCATCATCACGATGAGATTGGCTTTCATTTTACATGAACATAAAGGTGGACTGACGCTCGTAGGTCCAGTTTACTGACTAGGCTGCATGGGGAGTAAAAACAGACATGATGCATGTCGTCAGGTGAGCCGTGAATTTCCACTGCTGTTTCCTCTCACAATCTTTCACCTGCTTCTGCACATTAGCAGGACAGGCAGGTTGTTCACTGCTCATATATACTGAGCTGACTGAAGAAAAACTCCTAAAATCTCCCTTGATGACACTCACCAACACAACCTGTTGCCTTTTCTCTGAGTACTGCTGGGGGCAGAGGACAAGTTACTACCTTACTGACATGAAGATGTTGCAGCTTTTGACGCCACAGAAAAATGATAAACATGTTGAAAATAATGCATCCTTTTCCCTTTCACTGCTTTTGCATAATTATGCAATCCTTTGTGTTGGGGTGTGAATACTTAGTTTAGGGTAGAAGATCGTTCCTGTCAACAGCCATCACAATGTCCAATAACTCCTTGAAGAATCTAAATTCAGGAGTTATAACATTTAATCTCCCTTTGGAATTACGAAAGTATTTTTGAATTGAATTGAATGAATATTTTTGCAAAGTTCTATGAACCTTATATTAAAGATTAATTTTCCCGAACAAATCAAACGCAGCTGATTTACTGGTGATAACCACCACAAGATTATGAACTCCCCAGTTGTGAGCACCATATGTATGCTGTTGAGTTAGAAGGTAAAGGGGGACACAAACAAGATGGCAGCTGCCGGAGACTAACAGGTGGAGGAGTTTAAACTCCTCTGATCTAAGATCGTGATTTATGATCTTATATCATAAATCACGTTCTGTTCATTTAATTCTTCGAACATGTTTATCTGCAAGATGAAAGCAGAGTGGAACCAAAGTCAGATTCCTTGTTTGTGTTCACAAAGTTTGAGAATAAAGCTGATTGTGATCCTATGTAAACACACATCACTTAAAGACTGGGCAGCCAGGATGGGTGGCATCACATGAGGACTGCAACACAAGCAGAAGTTCAGGACAGCTATTGGTGGCTTTTTATAGCTGTTATTATGTCTCAACGTATCCATTTAAGCTGAAACTGGCTCCAAGTCATGAAGTGGGGGAACAAATATCTTCAATTTGTAATCCAGAATCTAAGTTAGCATCTAGTCTGGGGCTGTGATGCTGTAGCCCATCGTCTCATCTCATCGAGGACGATTTTCAGTCAGATGAAACTTGCATAGAGCGCAGTTTCATCATCCAGTTTTGACATGGAGCTTATGGCGTTCATCTTGATAAACACCATGAAGGAGCCGTTTAAGCTGGAGCTGCCTCAGCTGTCTGCAGGAAGAATTCACACAGGTGTGGCACACAAAGCAGGCCTATTGTTTTCTGATACTGAGCCATGTTATTAGTGGTGTTCTTTGGAAAGTTCTGCTTTATTTGAGCTTAGATCAGTTTTAAATGATGGGAGCACATAATACAAAATCTCCAAAATTGCAGACGTATGTAAAATGCAGATTAAAAATACTGACGACGGATAAGAAGGCCAGACAGCTGATGTGTCAATATGTCACTAATCCTTTAGAGCATTTTACTGCACATTGGGTTTGGCTGCTGCTGTGTGAGCAACTTGCAGAAAACATTAACTCAACAGACTTGTTTAAAAAAGATTCTTCGGTTTTTATCCAGTTCCTAAAGGACACTCAGCAGTCAGACTACCACTCTGTGCAGCACTGACAAGTGTGTGGTGTCTGCTGGTGGAGAAGATGAAATGGGGCTAGACGCCCAACTAGCTCATCAGACATGCTGGTATCTTTTTGAATTGTAGAAAATGAAGGAATTTGTCACAACAAATGTAGGCATTCGGCAAGCTCCACTATGAAGTCTTAACTTTCTCCAGACAGTGCATTTGGAGTCGGCTCGGCACACAGAATGACCCAGTACGCCCGAGTATATGGCAACAAGTTCATATATTTTAAATAAACCTTCAGTCTGAAGAAAAAACAATAACTCCACAAGTGTGTCAGTGAATGAAATGCGAGTGAGGTTGTGCTCCTCCTCTGCTCCGCTGGCTGTCTAGCTGAATGATTGGCTGGCAGCAGCATTTGGTTAGTTCAGCAAGTATTTTCTTTAAAGGGAAAAATTGACCAAAGTGGCTTGGTAAATGGCTCATCGGCATTCAGAGTGTGGCGCCATGTGTACTACTGAGTCCTGGTCCAAATCCCGTAACGGCCCGCTGGATGGTGGTGTGGGTGGTACACTCTTTCATTTCTGCTCTCAAAACACTGCACAGCTGCAGCTAAGACCAACCTGCTCTTCATTCACCACACCAAGCCTTTGTGTTGTTTTCGTA